CACCTCTGGTGTACAGAAAATAAAATTTAGATAAATATAATTTATAGAAATGCACTTTCCTCTGATGTGACCTTGCTGGAATACATGTATAAAGGTTGATTGTGAAACTACAACTCGGAAGTGTCCGGAAGTCCTACAGATCCTCCCTACTCCTGCCTTTCTAGAAGTGGGACTTGAGCGAGGCTCTAGAAAAGAAGAGGACTAGATCGTTTGCCACCTCTGAAAGCACAGTTGTCTCAGGACAGGGATGCGATTTCTCCAGATCTGCTACAGCCTACTTTGGGCTTCCTCGGCAGTGTTCAGACCAAACCAGGTGAGACCAGAGCCCAGTCAGGACCTGTATCTGGCCCAGGGTTAGCTAGCTCATGGATTCTACAACAACGACAGACAAGAGTTGAACATTTTTTGTTTAATGATATTTCGGGGAACAAAATGCAGTCTCTGCACCATGGCTCTCATACTCTCTCTCTGGGACCCCCAACTTCATCTTCCTCGCTCACGGTGACACACGACAGGGACCCCAACCCCGATAGCCAGCCCCCCCCCCCAGATCTCCCTTCTCATCTGAGCTCCAGCAACAATGCACGCCCTCCCACCCTCCACCCCGTACATCCGAAAGAACGTTAAAAAACCATTCAAGAATAAACGTATGTACAAAAATATGCATATCGGTTAATAACACAGATTAAAGATCCTTAAACAATGCAAACACTGCTGGTCAAGACCCCATCGCGCAGAGAACCCAGGACAGCAGGGCTGCAGCAGCAGCATCGCTCAGGCCCAAGGCCGCGCAGCCGGAGGGAGCCGAACCTGAGGAGGATCGAGATGTATCCCACAGTCCTTTACAGCAGGCGGACCTGTTATGTCTCTCCCGCACAGCGTTTCTCCAAACCTCCTGCCTCCGGGGGATAATCGGGGGAACCGGGACGCCTGGCGGGGCGCTGGCGCAATGCTCTCCGCCAGCCAGAGGGGGGGGGGGGCGCCGTGAGGGCGTGCCCAGCCACCCCTCCCACCCCGCGCTGAGAAGCGCTACAGTAAGGGCATGCAGTGTGAAAGGGAGCAGGGCCGGGGCGTGGAGGACGACAACAGATTCAAAACCAAGGAAAGGAAAAGGCTTCTTGCAGTCCAGATCCGGAGCGATCCCAGGGTCAGGGAGCCATCCAGAAGGGCATCTGCTGCTGAGGCGCGGGCTTAGTCCTGGGGTTCTGGGGGGCGCCGCGGTACCCCGAGCTCCAGGACGCCTGGGCAAAGCTACCTGCGTTTTTACTGGCCGCGTGGTCCTCCTCTTCGTCGGAGGAGTCGCCGGTGTAGGCCACCAGCCCGCTCCCCTTGGGCGCCGTCTTCGCCCGCTTGGCTTGGGGCTCTGCAAGAGAGAGGGGGGGAGAAAGAGAGGGAGAGAGAGAGAGGCGGACAGGACAGGACAGGACGGCAGCCACAGGAATCCCAGCCATGTCATAAAACAAGTTAGTGACGCGTGTCGATGTTGCCAGAGAGGCACGTTCGGGACAGAGAGAGGGGGAGAAGGGGGGGAGTGCAAAGTTGGGTCCCATCGCAAGCCGGCGGTGTCGGGATGGCGCCATGATAGCAGCCCGCCCATCCGTCCGTCCGCCGCGCCAGGGGAGGGCAGGGATCGCGCCCCGGAGACATGGAAAAGAACAAAAAACAGAGAGAGAGAGAGAAAAAACACAAAAGAGAGAAGAGGCTCGTTAGCTGGGGGGAGTCGAAGCCGTGACGCATCTGCTTTCCGTCCCGACGCCGGCCTGGCTGCGCCACGCTCTGGGGCTCGCGGGCCGGCCAGCCCCCGGGGGGGGGGTCAGCACCCACCCGCTCTCCCAGCAGCACCGGAGAGGAGGAGGGGGAGGGACAGGGGTGACCCAGCAGTCACTGCGCCGAGTTCTGCCGCCCAAGGGGCCAGGCGGGGGGGGGTCTGGGGGCGCAGGGAATGACGCTACAGGGGGCGGTGACTCACCCAGCGAGGCGGCGGCCGCCCTCCTCTCCTCCATCTCCGGACGGGACCCGTTCACTGGCAGGGCTGGCGGGGGCATCAGCTGCCTGCACGGTGAGATGGAGCAAAAGAGAGAGCAGAATCACCTTTCCTCTCCATTGCGGTGTCACATCACAACGTACAATATTACCAAATAATCACAACTGATAATATCCTTGCACTTACACAACACTTTTCTGGACACTGCACTTTAAAGCGCTTTACTGGTAACGGGGAATCCCACTGCCGCCACCAATGCGTAGCCCTGTGATGCCCCAGTACACTCACCACACAGTGGGAAGGAGAACAGAGTGGTAAAACCAGTCCAGAGATGGGAATTATCAGGAGGCCATGACCAGTAAAGGACAGGGACACCCTTACTCTTTTCGATAAACACCCAGGGATTTTAAAATGACCATGGGGAGTCAGGACTTCCATTTTATATCTCATTTGAAGGATGGCACCATTTTGTTTTTTGCTGTATAGTGTTCCCATCGCTACACTGGGGGATTAGGACCCACACAGACTGCAGGGGGAGAGACCCCTACTGGTCCCACTAACACCAGCAGCCTCAGCTTTTCCAGGAGGTCTCCTATCCAGGTACTGGCCAGGCTCACACCTGCTGAGCGTCAGTGAGCTGCAGAATGACACAGCTGCTCAGACTGCCTCCAACACAGGTGGTGCAGGCAGGACGACTGAAGTTACCTGTCCCTCTCCCTCTGCACGCCAGGAGAGCTGCTCGCAGCGGGTCCTGATCCGTCAGAGCTGCCCACAGAGTAGCCTGCACCTAAATTAGTCATATGAATGGGTCCATGCTATGAGCAGAAAAACACAACTGCATTAGCTGGCATCCTAAACCCACGTCCACTCTCTCTACTCCTGCAGCTCACAGCCGCCCCCCTCCCCCCTCCCGCCTGTCTGACACTGTCGCCCCCCCCCGTGCAACGAGCAGTGGCCAGGAGACCACACATCCGCTCGTCTTAACACATCAATAAGGAAATGCTTCTTCTTCTAAAAAAAAAGAATCAAATGCCACATCAGACAATGAGATCGAGTAACACGCTAGCTTTCATTTAGTTCCTCCCCTGCAAAGCCACCTGGGAAACGGGCACAGAAGTTAAGCACAGGTCTTCTAGGGGAGTCTGACGGAGCTGCCAGGTTTCGCTTTGTGGATGTCAAACAACAGCGTGATGGAAGAGTTGGAAGCTGGAGGCTGACCCCCGCCTGCCCTGATCCTCCTAAACAACTCTGTCCCAGCAGGCAAGATGAATCAGGGCATCACTACAAGCAGTTAGAAATACAAGGACTCTGCTTATCTCCCTATTGGCTTGACACTGGCATGGCAGGCCATGTGGAAGTCAAGACGGTCGAGCTGACACAGTGCCGCCGCAAGAGTGAGCGCAGGAGAACACGGGGGCGAAGGGAAAAGAGCGTTTCGTCCACCTGGTATCCCAGCAGGCCGCCGTCCCTCTCCTCCGGCACCTCCTCCGTGAAGCGTCTCTTCTGGGGGGGGTTGGCGCTGGGGGCCCCGGCCTGCAGGCTCAGTTTCGGCTGGACCGGAGCTGGAGGGGCAAAGGGGCCCTGCAGGAGAGGCTACAGGGAAGCCAGCAGAGGGAGAGAAGGGTCAGGCTGCCCGTACAGGAGTGGTCAGTCAGGACTGACGTCCACTCCAGAGACAGCACCGCACTGACCGACTGACCACTTCCGTGCAGGGCCTGTACAGGAGCAGACAGTCAGGCCTGCACTGACCGTCCACTCCAGAGCCAGAGTGTGTACAGGAACGGTAAAGTCAG